AGGGTGTATCTCCCTAGGGTAGATGGATGCATCTCCCTGGGGTAGATGTTCTGGTTGTAGGTCTTTCTACTGTTGAGCTGAGAGCCAATCCACAGAAGTAGTCTATGTCTAGACCTGAAGGATAACCCAGGGCCATAGTCTTGGGGGTTCTACCATTATTCATCCAACCAGTAATTCTGGTCATTTTGTGTTTTTGAATTTTGTTCTACATTTTTCCTCCCACTCAATCCAAGATCTCCAACTTTGATCCCTTTTTGAGCAGTTGGCATTGGTAGCCAGGCACCATCTAGTTCTTCTGGTCTCAGGGTCATGAAGGCTGAGGTCCTCAGGGTCAATCATATCTTTGGACTAATTGTTTACAGGTGGCTTTGATTTTCTTCACTCTTCTTTGCTTCAGACAAGAGTAGACCAATAGTTGTATCTTAGATGGTCACTCAAAAGCTTTTAATACCCCAGTCACTACTCACCAAAGTAGGATGTAGAACAGGATTTTTATGTACTTTGTTGTGCCAATTAAGCATGATGTCCCCTGAGACTATGGTCGCAAGCCCTCAGGCCTGGTGATTCTCTCCCCCAAGGTGTTTGCTTGTCTCTGAGAAGTTAGTCTAACCTTGTCCTCTGTTACTTCTGTAATACATGTGGATAATTTTGTAGCACATGTGCATATGTAAGACTATTTTCAGCCAAATCTATCCTTGGTCGTAAGTATATTCCTGTTTGGCTAACCCCACCTGATCTTCTAACCTATATATGCATTTACCCACAGCCTATTATTTGCTGCCACCAGTAATGCAGTATTGTGCATGTAATAGTATTTATTTCTGTTGTCTCTATCTTTTGTGCACGTTTCTGTGTCCTCCCTTTTACCACACTCACCATTCTGGTCACAGACTCTTTCCATACCTCCCCTTACCCAAATCAGTATGTGACCCCCAACTAGTCCAAAATTTTCCTTCCTCTTGCCTCCCATCCCCAGTAACCAACAAAGTGAATTCCCTTCCCTGTGTAAACCTTTCCTTGACTTTTTACAATAATGGACTCATACAATATTTGTCCTTCTGTGATTGACTTACTTCACTCAGCATAATGTCCTCCAAATTCATCCACGTTGTGAGATTATTTGTGTATTGAAACTTCCTCTTGAATGGAGAGTAGCTAAAGTGAATTGAAGAAACGACTAAGTAAAGGAGCTGAACACAAGATTTCAAAGAGCAGCTTGAGAGGACACAGAAAAGTATTATAATGAATTGTACAAAGACCTGGAGTTGGAAAATCAAAAGGGAAGAACACACTAGGCATTTCTTGCACTGACAGAACTGAAGAAAAAATTCAAGCCTTGGGTTGCAATACTGAAGGATTCTATGGGAAAAATTATGAATGATGCAGGAAGCATCAAAAGAAGATGGAAGGAATACACAGAATCAGTGAACCAAAAAGAACTGGTTGACATTCAACCATTTCAGAAGGTAGTATATAATCAAGAACTGAAGGTATTGAAGGAAGAAGTCCAAGCTGCACTGAAGGAATGGGCAGAGTTCCGGCAAGATGGCGGACTAGGCAGAAGGACTGCACAGACCCTCTTCAACAAAGACAAGGGAAACCAATTGACACAGACACAGAAGATTAATCTTGGACCCCTGAGCCTTGAAGGGAAGGATACAGAAGTTGACTACACCCCAACTAGCAGAAGAATTTGCGTGAAAATACCAAAAAAGGAGACATACGGAGCTGCGGTCTGGCAGGGACCTGAACACCCCTGACGGCACAAACGGCTTGGACATTCCCAAGTGGTGGTAGGACCTAAAAATTAACCTAAAAATCACCCTGCTAGCCAGGGACTGCACGGACTGTGCAT